AGAGAGAGAGAGAGAGAGAGAGAGAGAGAGAGAGAGAGAGAGAGAGAGAGAGAAAGAGGGAGACACTGAGGGAGAAACTCTTTGCGTCAATCAGTGCGGAGTCTAGTACGTTTCTGAGATTTTGATTTTGCTTATCGATCTATGCGGCAACGAGCCCATGCGTAAATCAAATAGGAAAAAAATGACCTCGGCAAAATTAATGCCCTCTCCCGGGGGAACCAGGCGGGCCTAGCGCGCGTGTCTTATTAAAATTGCAGGAGTTAATATTCCATACAGCGCGCCGTCTCTACCCGTTTTTTCCTCGCCACCGCGGCCGAGCTTTTATAGACAGCATTCAAGCGCTACTCCTAACGATGTTTGTTTGTTTGTTCTTTATTTGTTAATGGCGGTGTACAGATTGTTATGATTTAAATGGGATTCATGGACTTTTTTTTAAATTATTATTTATCATTTTTTATTATTATTTATTATTTTTTATTATTATTTATTATTATAAACTCTCGACTATTCTCTCCCGTGTGTGTGTTGTGTAGGTTTTCTGGATCGGACCGCTGTTTGGGGGAGCCCTGGGCGCGCTCACCTACGAACACCTGTTCTCTACCGTCGCCACTCCAGCGACGTGCCGCAAGACGTGCATGAAAGCCGTCGTCATCGACGACCCGGAAACGGTGCGCATACACTCACCCCGCGTCGGCGACAACGACGTCGACAACGATGACGATAGCGACGACGGCGACGGGAAACAGACGCGCCTCCACAGGGCGACGCCACCTGGCGGCAGGGACGGCGACGACGGAGCCAAGGAGAAGTTTATTACGGAGGAAAACGAGAAGTGAGAATTGGTAGCACCTCGAATGAAAGATCAAAATCCTACAGGGTCCCGTCGTCAGAAACAATTAAAATTACTCTTAATAACAGTCCTAACATTAATCACAGCGTTTTAACGTAGTAACTTAACGACGTGATTGTCTAAGAAGAAAGTCACCTTGGTTTCAACGATAATGTAAATACTAGCCTAGCACACTGTCACAACGAACGTACCCACACGTCCTACTACACAGTGTTTAGATATCGCAATGACATCCCCTGCAACAAGCATTAGCGTGTTAAAAAAAACTCTTGCTACGTATGTCTTGCTATTCGTCTACAGATTACATCTGGTAGGTGTTAATGGTTTACTTTTCACTCAAGGGCGTAGCCAGGAATTTGGATTGGGGCGGGGGTCCTCGAGCGAGTAACAAGGGGGTCTGGTGGTCTGAATTTTTTTTTGAGTTAAATGTAAAAATAGTGCTTTAAAATCAATTTAGACACTGTTTTGTTGACAATACTATTTCTTCTGCAGAATTTTTTTTACATTTTTTATTTATTTTGATTTTGATTGGGGGGGTCCTAGGGCCCCCAGGATACGCGCTTGTTTCCACTTATTCATTTCTGCACGCAAATGGCTGCTTAGACGAGCGGACATGCCAGAGTGGACCGACAGCTACTCTAATCAATGTTCCACGAGACGCAATTCCCCCCGTGTGGCCATGCCACACTAGTCGTAGTTGAATGAGCAATGATTGAAGCACCAGAGAATCGTGTGTCAAAATGCATCATAGCTAGTAGATATTCATGATATGAACGTGACCTGATGAATGTGACTGTGACCTTGATTTTACTAATTCACTACCAATTGGTATCACTTATCTTATCCTCTGTTTAACGTATAAATAAATAAATCAGTCAATCAATACGTAAATATATATATATTTCCATGTTATGTGACAATGGTCGATGTATATTATATTGTAATGAAAAAGTTAACGTGTAAAACGTAGTCATACGCTTGTGCAATTACATATATAATCTTCTCACTCCATTACTCCAAAACTTATTCCACTCGGTTCTATTATATTGTGCAATGTGTATAAACTAGATGTGAATAAAATCTCTTGATACATTGAGAATTTTTTTTATTTCAATGGTGCCCAGCTTGCTGTGACATTTAATTTAGATTCGGGTAGGTAACGCAGCTAGGTATATAGTAAATATATATCTGTGATAAGAAGTCCCAATAGATTGATTCATGTTTCAACTCATAAAAAGACACAAAAAAACTACAAACACGTAGCACTTCTGCATTGTAACTGTACAATATTTTATTGCAATTGACACCTCAACCTTACACACGTGTTGGCAGACGGTCGAACAGGCCTTTGAAGTACTAACAGGAGAGAGTCCAGCGTGCAATCATCCAACTACATCCATCCGATTATAATACAGTTTCGCGGTCGGAACAACGTGCCTCGCGACCTTTACAATGACTGACCCGATGGAATGTGCAACACGATGACAGACACGATTAGAAGAGGAAGCTACAGCTTCCAGTACGAACGACTCGCAGCAGGATTTCGCTTTAGCAATACGAAGAGACGGCTTCGTGCGCGAGTGCGGGGCGATTCCCGAAATCCGCATTCCTTTCTCCCGGATATTTTTTTGCCTGAAAACTCTGTCGGAACTTTCCACGAATACGGAGCGTATTTTTTCCATCGATACGCAAAAGCACTTTGACAAAGATATTTATCTACGGCGCAACCGACGCCTTCATCACATCTACCTGACGACGGCTGCATTGTTAACTCTCACCACCTCGCTTTCCCGAGGCAGCCCCATGCCAAAAGCATCCCCCGCGCTAAAATATCCCTGCCTCCTTCGACCCGCGCGAACGGATATGTTACAAATTTTAAAACCGCTGCCGGAGCGGGGATGTTTCCTGCCAATCCCTGCCTCCTCCTTGAATCCTGGTGGCCGGGGTCGCTCAGTCGAACGTCTTCTTCGTGCCGGTGAACGCCGGTGAACCTGCACGTCGACGGAGAAAAAACGGTAAGATCAGCACGAAGAAAACAAGAAAAACGACGAGAAGTTTCTGCAAAACCGAATCGAAGAAAAATGCTCGTCGAGGACTTGCGTGTCACGAGAGTGTCACGAGAGGCAACGCCCTCCTGACGAGGCTGTCCTCTGTGCGACTGTACTCAAACCGACACCCTACTACAACACAACTCACCCGCGGCCCAGCGCACACGTGAAGATTAGTGCGAAGTTCAACGGAATCGAAATTCCGAATCGAAGAAATGCTCGCAGTGGACTTGCGTGTCGCGCTAGTCAACAAAACCCCATTTGTACCACTACCGCCCTTTGTACTAGTTACTCAAACACACACCCCTCGCGCACACTCACCGCCGCCTCGTCCTCCCCTGCCGCCGAAACTCGCTCCGCGACCGCCGAATCCACCGCCGCCGCCGCGACCCCCGAACCCGCCGCCACGACCTCCGCCGAACCCGCCGCCTGCGTCGGGTGGTGGCCGTGGCGAGGCCATGTCGAGGTAGAGAGAGCGGCCCTGGAACGAGTATCCCTGCAACTCGGTGATCGCCTTCTTCGCATCGTCGACGCTTCCGTACTCAACGTACGCGTACCTGCGGTAGGGAAAGATAACGAGCTTAATAATCTTAGATTTAGATTAATAATATTAATAATAAGATGCAGAAGTGATGAGACATCTCAACGTGATCGTCATCGTGGCACGAGACAAGAACCCGCCGTCTTCCGATGGCCTGTCTATGTAATACATGTCGAGATATACGTCATAGACATACGTACTGATGATACGTGACTGCGCATCACGTGACCGAATACACACCAGATATAGTTTCAACCGTCCCAACTCCAAAAACAACACAACTTCTACGAACGACGACGCCTCGTTTCGAAAGCGACGCCGTTTCGGTCGGAGGGCAGGTAACAACCTCCGGAAACCAATCCCAACGTTTCTTTCCGACAACAAGCCCCCCCCTTCCTCTCGGAACGCTCCCTCCCAGGTTGTGCTACAGCTCCCTCTGCTGCTTGTTAGAGCCAGCAGGTGGCGCCGGGGTAACTCGTGCCGTCGCCACACTCACCCCTTGAACTCTCGCGGCACCCTGCAGTCGGCAGCGGTCGGGAAGATTCCGTACAGATCATCCCGCTGCGTCCCGTCCGGAAGGTTCTTCACAAACACCGTGTTGCCATCTGTTGGCGAGAAACGAAAGCGTTCGAGAAAACGTCGCAGCCCGAGGCCGAGAAGGAACGAGAGTGGAATACCAGATGACGGATAACACGCACGATTGGTTAGTTAGCTGATCATAGGTAAGTTACACATCTGCGTATAGACACACGCGCATATACACGTGTGCAAACATAACAAAATATAAACACGATGAGTTTCTCCAAACCATCCAGATGTAAACAAACCAAACGGTTTTTTTTAAATTTAACACTAAACGCGGAAAGTCGACACGATAACGACACACCTCTTACACATTGTCACGGAAAGAGAGTATGAGGATTTTCGTGGACCCCAGCGCGCCTCGCCCCACCCACTCCCATGCTCACCAGCCGATTGTTGTCGTCCACCGAATCCACCGCCTCCCCTGCCTCGCCCTCCTCCAAAGTCGCCACGGCCGCCGCCGAATCCACCGCGACCGCCGAAACCACCGCGGCCGCCCCCGAAATCGCTCTGGGGTGCGCGCGGTGTCGCCAGCGCCACGAAGAGATTGTTTCCCTTGAAGTCGGCGTCCTGCATCTCCGTCATTGCCTTCTGGGCCGCCTCCTCCGACTCAAAGTCGCAGTGGCAGAACCTGCGTGTGAACGCAGAACAACAGCGATGTGAGCGATCCGGCAGACGCAGTGGTCAGCATCGCAATACGTAACGTATCTTAGGGATATTGGGGTATACTGTAACAGTATTAGGCCAAAACAAAATATAGGTGTGGTTAAGGTTTCCCAACCGACCCTATTTATTCCCAGCGACCCTAAACATTTAATTGTCAATTTTCTTTAAAGTAAAAAAAAAATAAAAAATAAAAAATAAAATAAAATAATGAATTGGACAGTTCCTGCTTCAAAAGGCACAACACACATCCTTCGGACATGGTTAGTAAATGAAATATTTCAAGAAAATAAAATGTTTTGCCTACCTACCTACCCTATTTATTTTTGTTGGCATGTAACGGTAACCACACATGTATATATTTTGTTTTGGCCTTATATGAACGTGAGAGACGGCAGACGCGGAGTAGTACGCATCGCGAACGTATCTCGTGAAATGTGCACCGTGATGTGGATCGTATAGCACATTTTCACCAGTGACAGCGCGACTGAACGCGTTCCGCATTTCCTTTTCCGCACTTTCCTCGCACCTCCGCCGCGCTGCACCACGCGAGGGCGCCACTCACCCCTTGTACGTCATCGGCAGTCGGCAGTCCAGCGCTGTGGGGAACAGCTTCTCGAGATCGGCCTTCACCGTGCCTTCCGGAATGTTCTTGATGAACAGCACCTTCGAACCCGCCGCCGCCGCCTTCTTCTTCACCGTCAGCGTGGCCGTCCTGGGAAAAACAATTGCCGGCGTGCGACGTGAAACGCGCGTCCGCAGAGTCGTTCGCTTGTCTAAAACGAGCGAGCCGTGCTCGAGACGAAATCGCTTTACGCAGTAACGGACATCCACGCATAACGTTTTTTTTGGCCGAGGAGATTCTATATTTGGATAACAAATGCACACATGCCACGTGATAAAGAATAATATCCTGGTACGCTAGTTATACTGTGGTACACATAATATATATATATATATATATTATACATGTAATACTATGAGGGTGAATTCGTCTATATGCGTGGCAAAAAGGTTACGAATATAATTATATTACGTCACTTGAAATTTGTAAAGTGGGAAATCGGCAGAAACGGCTAGAATATTCCGACGATTTGCATCTCATGCGCAACGCACTCATGCAGACGCGCCCAACAATCAATCACAGCACTCACGCTTTGCCGTCCTCCATGTCCACTTTGCTCAGGTGAATTCCGGCATTGCGGAAGTAGAACGAGACATCGTGTGCTGTCGACAACTTCTCTCCTTCCAGTGTGATCTCGATGGATCCTGCACGGCAAATCATTTTTTTTTTAAAGGCGAGTCTTTACCAAAATTTCGTACAGTCGTATGGTGTAACGAACAGCCGCAGACGACGAAAAGTGTTTCCGAACGAGCGGATAATTAAAAACGTGCGATTACAATGCGCAATTAAAACAAACGAGTAAAACAAAGTTTAAAGTGATTACGTCACGAATTTCTAGCACCATCAAGTAGTA